GTTGATCGATGCTTTATGCAGAGAGACAAGCGTTTCGGCGATTCCGCTTGAACGAAACGCGCGTGGTTGGAGAATTTTTTGGTAAAGATGTTTAGAATAGAAAAAATTAGAAGCTCGGCAATACAAGTGGAATTTGCATAAATATTTTTGAAAAGTATCACGCTTTTTGCTTTATGGATTTTCATTACATCATTATGGATTATGGATTTCATTATATGGATTTTCATAAAATCTATTGTTTTGTTTTTGAGCAATACAAGTTTCTTGATTAAAATTAAAATTGCATATATTTTTGAAAAGTACCACGCTTCTTTTATTATTAATTAACAAATTGTTTATTATATTTTATTTTTATTTTATTATTTATTTTATTTTTAACGATACAGATACGCTAACAGATATGTTAAAAATCCATATAAAAAGTTTCTTGAGATAAAAATCATTGTTGAAGAATTTTTATCGTTAGATATTCCGTAGAACAGAAGCCAAATAAAATTAGAAGCTCGGCAACGCAAATGGCGTCTCATTTGCATAAACATTTTAAAAAGCTCGTTATCTTATCCGATTCTCGAGCAATACAACTTTCTTGAGATTGAAATCACGCGTCTAAAATGATCATTTAACAACCGACGTCGTGCAATATTAAATTACCTTCAAAAAACAAGTTCCAAAAACAATAAGCAACAATCCACAGACATCCATCCAAATCGAACGCCACCAATGTATATTTACTTCCCCAATTAAACTTCTGCATCGCAAAGCAAAAGCGAAAGGAAAGAGTCGAAAAAAATCTCTTTCTTTCGCCTTTCTGTCACCCACCTCGCTTCGACGCGTCCCCTCGCGGCAGTCCTCCGTAGAAAAATGATCCCTGGGGCACGGAGAGGGGGACACGAGAGGTTCGGCGATAAACACACGCTAATCCATAAATCCTGGAGCAAACGGGAGAAAGCACGCGCTATATATGCGCGACGGCCGACTCGAGACGTATCAGTGGCGCGTCTGCTGCAATATCGATAAAACATTGATCCTCCATTCGTGCCTGAAACCCACCGTATAGGATTCGCACGGGCACGCCGCGTGGCCTCCCTTCCCCCTCCCCCTCGCACACGTGCACGCAACCCGTGCATACACCCGGGCCTTGCTTTCCACGGGATTATATCCCGACCGGTGCGTGCAACGATACACCCGCGTGTACACGTGTGTATATACATATTTACCCCCCCTCCTCCAATCCCTCCACGTATATACGTCTTCCTTTTCCCGCGTGTGCAGCCGCGTCTGCCAATATCGCGATCCGCACGCGAATCGCCGAGGCCGTGCGCCGCCAGGAATTCGACGATGATGGAATTTGGGTCGACGATATCTTCTTTCTTTTATTTCTTTTCTTTCCTTTTTTTTTTTTTTACGTCCTAATCTTCTTGGGTTTTGGTTTTTGTTATTTTGACGAAACCTAAACGGTAGGGGAAGTAGACTGGGCGCAATGAACTCGAGAAGAGAGGAAAGATTTCGATGATCGTTTTTGTGAACACCTGATACGTATTGGCAACGGTAGATCTTATTTATTATTTAGGTTTTGGTTTTTGTTATTTTGAAATCCAAAGGGTAGGGGAAGTAGACTGGGCGCAATGAATTCCAGAAGAGAAGAAAGATTTCGATGATCGTGATGATCGTTTTTGTGAACACCTGATACGTATTGGCAATGGTAGATCTTCTTATTTATTATTTAAGTTTTGGTTTTTGTTATTTTGACGAAACCCAAACGATAGGGGAAGTAGACTAGGCGCAATGAACTCGAGAAGAGAGGAAAGATTTCGATGATCGTTTTTGTGAACACCTGATACGTATTGGCAACGGTAAATCTTATTTATTATTTGGGTTTTGGTTATTTTGAAATCCAAAGGGTAGGGGAAGTAGACTGGGCGCAATGAACTTGAGAAGAGAGGAAAGATTTCGATGATCGTGATGATCGTTTTTGTGAATACCTGATACGTATTGGCAACGGTAGATCTTTTTATTTATTATTTGGTTTTTGTTTTTGTTATTGGTTTTTGTTATTTTGAGGAAACGGTAGGGGAAGTAGACTGGGCGCAATGAACTCGAGAAGAGAGGAAAGATTTCGATGATCGTTTTTGTGAACACCTGATACGTATTGGCAACGGTAGATCTTCTTATTTATTATTTGGGTTTTGATTTTTGTTATTTTGAAATCCAAACGATAGGGGAAGTAGACTGGGCGCAATAAACTCGAGAAGAGAGGAAAGATTTCGACGGTGATGATCGCCTTGTGAACACCTGGTATTGGCAATAGATCTTCTTATTTATTCAAAGCATTTATATAGGGGAAGAAAAGGGGGATCGATTTGAAGAACGCGGGGATTTTCTCATTAACAGCGATTATAACTGAAACGCGACATCAAACGAAAACTATTGCAACACACCGCGCATTTTGCCACATTTTCCACCCCCTCCCTCTTCAGGGACCTTGTATTTATCCGAGGAATTATGAATCATCAAAGTAGCGCAGCGAGATCTACTGTGAAAGAGACACACTGTGCGACACGAGTGCGATCCCATCGGGTGGGTTCACGCCGGATAATTTCATCCCCCGGTTTCGAGATCATCTTTCCCCGTTTTAGTGGATCAAAGCGACGGAAATCACGCCGGCATAATCGCCGCCCGCNTAAGGTCGGCGGCGAAAACGGCGCGAGGAGGGGAGGGGTGGGATTGCAGGGGGTGGCAAGTGGCCGAGGGAAGACGAACGCGATGGTCTCAAACACTGCGGTGCAAAATTCACCAATCTAATTCAACTAAGCAAATTACCGGCAACTTCCCGGCCGCCACCTCCACGCACGGTGTCCCTTCGGCCTGCATTCCCAGAAACTTAGATCAAAGGGGCGCTCTCTCTCTCTCTCTCTCTCTCTCTCTCTCTCTCTCTCTCTCTCTCTCTCTCTCTCTCTCTCTCTCTCTCTCTCTCTCTCTCTCTCTCTCTCTCTCTCTCTCTCTCTCTCTCTCTCTCTCTGGACCCCCGGCCATTTTCACCAGCTCCCTTCTTCGCCAGCTCAACGCCGCTGCATCCCCCCTCCTCCGCGCCTCCTGTTTCGAAATATCGCCCCTTTCATCTCCGCGTTTCATACTTCCGGCCTGCCTGTCGCACCCGACGAATATCGAATTCTGGCTGCTTGACCGGTGGCTACTGCCCCCTCCTCCCCGTCTCCTCCTTTCCTACGTGTCTACGTTCCTACGTGGCCCATCTGGAATGGAACGAGGCTGGGTTTCGATGCATGCTGAGTAACAGGTTACGCAACCCTTGTTTCGGTTGGGGAAGGATAGGATTGGAGGGTTGGCCGACTGTTTTTGTTGCGTGACTAAGGTTTGTGGGACGATATCAGGTGGTCGAGGGAAATCTGGCTGGTGTGCACGGTATCGTTACGATACGCGTGATATCTTTGTTATTTTTTAGGAGTTTGGATTGGAGGGAAGGAAAATCGAGATTGCGAGTGTTTCTTTGCTTCTAAGGTTTTTATTCGAAACGTACTTGTTTTATATGTATCCATTGCTCTTGATGTATTGTTCTTTTTTTTTTTTTTTTCGTGAGAAGTGAAATGAAAGAAAGAATCTATTATAATTTTATCGTAGTATCGATATAATGATATAGGATTTTTATAAACTATGAGAACATATTTTATCAATAGTACATTGCTTTATTATCTAACCGTTTAACTATAACTCATGAGCGAATATGTAGAACATTCACATTCTTTAATAAAACCATGAAGAAAATTGTTTCAAAATGAGGACTTTAGAAGAAGATAAATATGTGAATGCGAAAATTGCAAGTGTTTCTTTGAAGTTTTTTTAAAAACGTATTAGATTTATAAATATTATAAATATTTATTGTTCTTTGAGAAGGTGGCAAGCGAAACGACACTCTTACCACTAATATTGACAATGTAGCATGTAGAACATTCACACCCTCTAACAAGACCACAAGCTCCAAAGACAATTGTTCCCGAAACCACCATCCAAACACCACTCTCCATCCCCTCTATAATCATCCAAATTAATCGCGAATCGCCAAAAACACCCTCCGGTTCCCAAATCTCCTAGCACCTAGCACCGCGTATGTCACGCATATAGCGTCAAAATCGAGAGGGATGTTGACGAGTGCGCACACAGACACGAACGGTGGGACGACAAGGGGGTGGTGGGCGACCGAATACTTCCGGGACGCAATATCATTGGGAACGAGGCAGACTGGGTAATTCCCACTTGCTTGGTCTTCAGAGGTAGCAGAAACTGCGTTTGTTGATTATCCGTCCGGTAAACAGGGAGCATTGTTATCGATTGGGCCAACAATCTGCCCCTCTTCCTCTCCCCCCTATATTGACGCAATACTGCCTCGCACTTGCATAATGAATGGTTGGCTAATGACCCTACGGAGGTTGCGGAAACCGCAGCCAGAGGATGGTAGGCCCGGGCCTCGAAGCACTTCCGGCATCAAACATGCACCGCTCGCGGATCCTCGGAATCCACGGGGTCTCCTGCACGGCTTGGCCGTGTATCGTTCCAACCCCCGTTCCGTAATAGGTACACGGAGGCCGACTTTAATTCTTCATTAACCGAGCGCCAACACAGTGGAAGCAGATACGCGAGGCTTGGATATCCGGCGATAGCGTTCGTAAATTTGTTAAGCTCGGGATATAAATTTAACGAAGGTCCGTTTTGTTGACTCGAGAAGAGAAGATTTGTAGATTTGTCAATTTGGTTTCGATCGAGCTTTATTGATTATTTGCGTTAGGTATATACTGTAGTCGAATGGGATCATGTAATTGGAAAAAAATATAACGAAGAATTTTTTTAAGAAACTTTCTTTTGAACGTAATGCGAAAGTTAAATATTAATGTAGGAAGATTTCCTTTGTAAATGAATGAATAATTGATAATGATTGAATATTTTCTAACAATAAGTATTTTATGTAATGTGTATATTTTTATTTTCAGTTCTACCGAGTACGCGGATACCAATAAACAGATTCTGACCACCAGTCTGACGTGTCACTGTAAGTAATTCTTCGAAGAATTCATAACATTACTTAAATCAATTTGAATTCCAATATTTATTGATCAACGCGCACTTGTTAACGCAAATGTCAATTCTAACCTCTTTTTCTTCGCTTAAATCAATACCTTTATACAACTCGAAACTCCCCTTACCTTTCAAACATTTAAATTTCAATAATCAACTAATAATATTGTAATAAAACAGTGCAACAAAGATATTCTCAATCAAATTTCCACCAATTCAAATCATCCAGACCGTTTCTACTTAAAAACAGGAATAAAACGAAAATGCGAGAAGTCGAGAATCGTTGCCACTTTCCACCGAATTGTACGCTTTTTGCTCTCGGTCGGTTACGCAGCTTCCCCTAGTACCGACATGACCGGACCGATTCTTTTGTACCCGGCTTTCCGTCACTTTCGCGGTTTCCCGCGCCTTTGGAAATACCATTGGAATCCCACGACTCTTTCACGTAGCAAGTTTCGCCTCTCTATATAACCGGTAGGGAGGGACCGCGCACGCAATAACGACTCTAATCTCCTTATGTCGTCCCGAGCTGTTTTTGCCGCGTCCTCAACGAGAAAGTGCTTACGCTGTTGACCAGTCGGCTATAAGGGACTTACAATTTACTTGCGCGTAAGAGGCTTTATGCGGCGCACCGCGCGTAAAACGTCGCGCCGTCGCTACTTTTACTTAACGTTCGTTCCGCTTTGCATTCTTGCGCTCAAGGAAAAGTGACGGAAGTGGGGAGAAAGTAGCGTTTTATACCAGTGGACTACCCCCTCCAACTTTTCACGAATCTTGTGCTTGTGCTGTCATTAAGGAAGGGGACGAGGCGAGGGAAGAGGGCGCTTTTCTCGAGTGCCAGGAACGAAAGACGGATTATATACGATCTGGAAGAGGCGGTCACCGAGAAACAAAAGGGGGGAGGTGTTTTTTTGCGAGTATTGAGAAACTAGCATCGTTACGAGTTTCGTTTCGAAGCGGTAATAGTCTTTTCGGATTGGGCGTGTTATAACCTAGAAATAATTCGGTGATGTGCGTTTGATTTCGAGAATAGGATAAGTGCTTGAGTAAGTGATTAATATATAAAGGTGGATTTCTTGAATGTTTGATATCGTCTAAGCAATCATTTATGATCTGTGATAGTATTGTTAATTTTATGATTGAGGTTAGGATCTGAAGGGAATTCTAGGCTATTAGAATTCATTTCACGATGAGATTCTCATCATGAAAAGCTCATGCATATATGGGTTCATGGTCGTAAAAGGATTAAGGATCAACGTTTTCTACATTTTACATTGTCCAATTATCTTCTCTGGAAATTTCATCTTATTCGAGCATTATGAGCCGGTTGGTAGAGGAGGAAGCCGTTCCACGCATTTTACAAGCGTCTCATCGAGTGTATCATCGCTTAGAACGCCCGCTGGACTTTTGAAGGACAATCCAATTTCCAAGGCCGACTTTACGTTACCAAGATATTGTTTTCAAGGGGATTGCGAAATGGTTGGTCGAGAAGTCTCGATTTCCTACTGCTTTTTCCGCCATTTTGTTCCATATACTAAATGATCGAACCATTTCTTAAAATTAAATTGAAAATAAAAAGTTGATCTTTCATCTTTTAAAATGAAATTGTATATTTTTGTGATTGTGATTAATTGATGCAGCTCGAGATTTCTTACAAAATAATATCAAATTGCCTTTGTGACTTATGAGATTTTTATTAGATACATTTAATAAGATTTTATATATCAGAATTAATTCTATAATTAAATATGTGCATATCGTGTATAGAATAATTATAAGAATTAATCGCATAACTATAATTATTCGATTCATCAGTATTAATTGAACGTTTTTCGAACTTGTGATAGCTTTGTAACAATTCTATTAAACTTGTCAAACTTGTCTATATGTGCATGCATATTTATATATATATAATTTATTAATAAAATAAAATAAAAATAATTAAAATTAAAATATTTCAGAAAAAAAAATTTTGTCATCATATTTTTTTTATGAAGAATTATTTTCAACATCTATCATTTTTTCATGTTGGATAAACTTCTTTCTTCTTGATTTTTCTGTTTTATTTTCAATTAAATATTATATTTCATTGTATATTTAATCAATCTATAACGAAAGGTACTTAATCATGAAAGTATATATGAAGTAAATAAATTGCCAAAATTCCTATACAATTTGTTACACTAGATTTTTGTTTTATTTAAAATTTATAATTGAAATTTATAAAAACGTGTTTTTACAAAAATTTTATAGTTTTACGTATAGTTAATATAATATTTTATTTAATTTTTGAATTTTCTAGAATTTTATAGAAAATATTAATACATATACTTTCACAAAAATATGAAACTTTTATATAGAAAATATTTTTTATGAAATTTTAAATATCAATGAGAATGAAGTTTTTTTTCTCTTTCTCTTTTTTTTTCTCTCTCTGAAATCACAAATATTTTGATAATACATATTCTTATAATAAATTTGAGAGAAAATACTTAATTTCTGAAATTTTAAATATTTCAAGTAATAAAGTTAAATGAAAAATATATTACACATTATAAAACTTCAGTTCATTATATATATATATATTTCAAAACTTTTCACTATATTTTTCTTTTCCAATTCTCCCTTTCTTATTTTAAGAAACTTTTTCTCTCTTGCTTTCTCTTTTCATCCAAAAAGCAAATTCAAGACGGCAAACGAGAAAAAACTATTTCCAGACCAAACTGTAGGAAATCCTTAATCAAACGTTTCCTCCTTTCCTAAATGAAGGAACGTTACGTAAAGCTTGGAACGCTTCTCTTAAAATCTTTTCGTAGCCCAAGGCTGCTCGATCCCTCTCCTTTCTTCTTTTCTTCTGTGGATCGAATCGTTCATTTTAATTCAGTGATTTATTTTCGTGTTTCGTTACCACGGTCAGCTTTCGTCTACTCGAGCCGATTTTCTCGCCACTGTGGTCTGGGTTGCCGCCACGTAACGAGCACTTCCGGCCCCCCATACACGATGCTTCTTGAAATTTAAATTACTCGAGCTCGATGGCACTTTCCCCCGATGAAAAAAATTCATAGATACGCGTCGACTTAAGTTACAATCTTTTTGAACTTTCGAGTTAATAATGGCAACCACTGTTATGTTCAATTTATTGAATTAAATAAGGAAGTGACGCGTTTTTAAATCTATTTATAATAGAAAATGTATATACTTTTTTCTAACGAAATATGCGAAATAATAAATTTATTAAAAGTAAATATTTTGCAAAGTTTATAAAACTGGTCAATTTCAATTCTTCTTTTCTTTCTATGAAATTAAATTAAAGGAAGCCTTTAATAAAGATCGATTAGAGTGAGAAAGAATTACTACTGCTTCAGATTAAAAATATAATTGGAATTCTTTTTTCTCAAACCATGATTTTTACTATTCGTCAAAGTTTATGATATTACTTGTGTTAATAAAATTATTGCATGCTTTATTGTAACTTTATTCGTAACAGTGTTTTTTTCTTTTAAAAGAAAACGTTCTTAAAATATTTTAAGTATATACTTAAATATAAAAAATATAAATATAAATATTAAAAAGTTATAATAAAAGTATGGAATATGAAAAAAATGACAATATAATACAATGAAATTCAAAGAAAAAAAATATATTTCGTTTAAAAGTCCAAAAATCTTTTTGGTTATATCATTAATGATATAATCTTATCCTTTTGAATATTCCAATTCTTAAAACTATCATATTTTTATCACATTCTAAACAATTTTTTTTCAATAATATAACATTAATATAATAATATTTCAATCATTTATCATACAAAATTATTTCACGCTTACTTTTATTAAAAACCATTCGTGAGCTTCGACAATATTCACAAAAACGTTCAATGTACAGTAGCGCCATCAGCGGATACTCGCAAAAATACAACAGTAAGATCATTTCGCCCAATAGCGAATTGAAAATAATTGAAAAATAGGTCAGAAGTCACGATATGTAATTTTGACAGATTCGTTGAATATCAATGGTTCGATATAGGTTAGAAATAAGTATAGAGGCGACCAAGATGAGTTTACATCGCAGTTAAGTTTCGCTGTAACGGTGACGTCGAATTGCCTTTTCCCCATGACCGTGATGGTGTGTGACGCGCGGATTTACCGGCCATTTGGTAAATGAAGACGAAACTACGTCGTAGATTACTATAGCTGCGATACACCAGCGACAACTACTAACCTCTAACGTGTACAGAGTTTCCTTTCAACGTGATCGAAGCGATCGTCTGTCGCAATCTGTCCCTTTCCATATGTCTTTGTCTGTGATTAATAATGTATACCGATTACTCGATGTTTGGATGATTTAGTTGTTAATTTACTTTCTTGGATATATATGTTCGTGATTAAAATATGTCATAATTATTTTGTGTATCATATAATAATTCTGTTTCATATAATAAATTAGTAGCAAGTTATTGTATTAAATTGACTGATGAAAAGTTATAGGTTAGGTATTTTGTTATTTTCACGCTTAATTGAAATTAAATTATATAAAAAGAAAAAAAAAGGGAAAATGAAACTAGATAATTCTAAGAGGATTTTATTATTATCTTATATTTATTGTACTTTTTTTTATTTTTAAATTGAAATGAATTTGATGTATTTTGTAATATATATAGAGTAAGATAGTTGAAAAAATTAGTTTTTGCGAAAAATGTTTAAATTTATATTTATCCTATCCGTTATGGGATTCGTTTTTTCAAATAATTGAGTTTAGTGTAACTGAACTTTAGCATGCCACTTCATCACTTGTGACAAATTTTAATTGTACGAGAAAAAATAACTATATCCCTTCCCCAGAGGTGAAAAATTGTCATTCTATAAAGAGCATATAAAATATTTTATTCTGAAATATTTTGAATATTTCATACGTGAAATATATGTATATGACATGAATTTCAAACGATACAGTTTTCGATCGTATAAGTGATGA